GTTTTCTAAAGCACCACTGATCTCTACTGACTTTTCATTAGCTAGAGCCAGGTCACATGACCATTCCTAATCAAGGGCACCTGGGGAAGTAATTTTACCTGAGAACATTTAGCTGACTCTTCTGATTAGGAAGAAAGGGAGGAAGGATATTGAGAAGGCAACTAGCACTGCCTACCACCAGTAATAGAATTTAAATTCTTCTTTGGTCCTAATTGACTGGACAACTGCAAGAACAAATTCCATAGAAAGAAAAGATAAACATGATTATAAAATATAGATATAAATATGAGCGCAACATCACAACAGATTGCTTTACTTTGCAAATTTATCCCGTTTAACGCAGATTTTCCTCATTTCATCAAAATCACTATGCATGTGTTACCAGAGACTTACGGTTGCATTTCTGCTGCTTGGGACATAGCTCTGCACATTGTAGGGATTCAGTGTGTGTGTGCGTGTGCATGTGCGAGTGCACGTGTGTGTGCTTAAACAGAGGGCTGTATTGATATACAATACAGCACTGCACTGTGTAATGAGGTCATGAACTATATCATGTATCTTGCTGGCATATTATGGGGAGCCCCTGCAGTGGTGATTGGGGGATGGGTTTTAGCTTTTGCTTTGGTGTGCTTTTGTCTTGGTTATGCCACTGCCAGATGGGTTACTTTCTGTTAATTTCACTTTTGTAAACATAGATTTTAGGAAATTTAGAGAAATACCAGTGGAAAAGCTAGCCTCATTATGATTAACCGTAGAAGTGCAATGACCCCATTCTTTATTTTTTTTAAAATTATTGCTCTGTCTTCTATCTCATCCAGAAAATGTCTCATTTCAATAATAATTATTTTTAAATATGATTTTCTTCATATGAAGTAATAGTATTGAATTTGATTTTCACTCTATAGCCACATTAAATACACATGAGTGTCACTTCTCTGGAGTGACACTTCTCTAAAATGCACAATAGTCTTTTCTCCATGCCCTGTCCCAGGTTTAGGGGCACACCATTCTCCCCTCTCCTTGAGGATGGGTCCTTTTTACCAAACTGTCTTCTCAAATATTTTCTCAATAGACCGCTCACGGCATCATTAACACATTAAGCACCCAGCCTGTTTTGTCTTCTGGACGGAAAGTATAGTGTCAGTCACCGGTGACTGGGCACTTGACGTGCTAAATTAAAAAACAGAGATGCAGGTGAATGCCTGGAGATTCTGCCTTCCTAATATGCTCACAGCTGATGTCAATGCCGACAGTGCCTGAGTGCACTGAGTAGCAAGACACTGGATTTCAAACTTGGCTGCATATTGGAATCTTGGGGAAGTTTTTATAAATGCAGATACTTGCGTTCCCCCCCAAAGAGCAGGATTTATTTGTTATGGGGTTCAGTTTGGGCATCAGGTTTTTAAGAGCTCCCCCAGGTGATCTTAATGTGCAGCAAAGTTTGAGAACCTCTGTAAACACCAGTTAGAATAGTTTCCCCCCACTATCCCTCCACGTGCAGTTTGGTAGCCTTATTTATCCTTATATGCCCCACTATGGTTGGTACCTAGGTCTGGGGCTTTTCTATCCAAGGAGAGCCTGCATTCTTGGTATGGGCTCGATAGGAGTCTGTTGAATATATCAGCATATAGAAAGATGCTTGTTCTACTTATAGGCCCTGGGAAGGTGGAGAGGTGATTTGCTTTTCACTGTAAATATGGGTCCAGCCCTAACCGGTTTGGTTCAGTGGATAGAGCATCCCAGGTTCGATTCCAGTCAAGGGCATGTACCTTGGTTGCAGGCATATCCCCAGGAGGGGGTGTGCAGGAGGCAGCTGATCAATGTTTCTCTTTCATCGATGTTTCTAATTCTCTATCCCTCTCCCTTCCTCTTTGTAAAAAATCAATAAAATATATATTTTTAAAAAACATGGGTCCAGCATAGTTCTGTTTACTGCAATTCCTTTGCCAGCTTCTTCCAAGGATGAGCTTATATAAAGGGTTTAGAGATCTTGGGACCTGAGGGCAGAGAAGAGAGAGGGGAGAAGGGAGGGGAGATAATAGCAAATATGAAGGGAAGAGAGAATAAGGGAAGGCAAGGAAGATGGAAAGAGAGAAAAGTGGTAGAAGAAGAAAAAGTGGGAAGAAATAAGAAGGAAAAAAAGATGGATATAAGGGTATTGAAAAAAATTGTTAGATAATTACCATCCTCTGCAAGAGGTGACACAAAGATCAACACACTTATGGTCTCATAGGAAACAGGAAAATGATAGAAAACTATACAATAGTAAAAGAGTAAAGGAAAATAATAACAGAGATAACACAGAACATAAACAAACCTATCAACAAATGAGAGTTATAGGCAATAGACAGAATGAACATTATTTCTATGGGGAGAAATGGTAATAACCCCGTTGAAACGAATTCCTTATCTTTACTTTATCAACTTCACATTAAGCATAAAGGTGGCATCTGAAGAAATAACATTTAACTTAATTTATATCAGGGAGTCTTTCAGAGAATGATTTCAATATTTATTTTGTAGTTATTTCCTCTAGCCTGGACCATCTAGGATGTTTCACTTTGAGGAAAAAACACCACAATTCTTAAAATTTACTTGGAGATACCCTTTGATGGTTTGTCCCCGCTCCCATCTCTGTGCTGTACATCTAGAACATTCTTATAAGGATTGACGTCTTGATGCTAAATGTTTTATGAGACTAAATAATTGGAACTCAATCCACCCAAAGTGGTGAAGGTTTGGTTTCTCGTTATCGTTTCTAAGAAACATTCTTCATTTGATGTGTTGAACTTTGGCAATACAAGTCCCTTTAGTGACATAAAAGAAGCCAGTCTTTAAAAGATGCTGACAGATGTTGTGGTAGTTTTTTTTACAATGGAGCTGTTTCCTGCTCCACTGCATGTAATTAGACATGCAGACAGAGCTTTCCCCAACTTACTGCCCCAAAGGGAGGGGTTGGGGCCGGCACCGCAAAGCTCTCCTCACTAAAAGGAAACACTTTTAACATGTGAATGTCTTGATTTCTATAAAGAAATGTTTTCATTTTTAAAAATTCTGTATAAAACTAGGTTTACGGTAAGGAAAATATCATTTCTATGAAGTTCAAGCAAACAATGTATCCCCTTCATAAGGAACTTGGATGGTAAGGATATTTTCCGCAAGCTTTAAGGCCCTGCCTTTTTAGTGTCCGAGCAGCAGCATCCAGCACTCACTGCATTGTCTTGCAGTCTGGCTCATCTGAATCTGCTCAACTTCCCTGTTTTACCTTTTACAAATTCTTTGCTTTTCTTTGCTTACTACTGTGGTGTTTTAAATGATAGTGTTAATCGTGAAATTGCCAAAGCTTTCTAAGTTGAGGTGGTATCTCTCTCTTTCAAACTCTAGAGATGCTCTTTGCTATATTTAATTGGGAACCCTGTGTCTGGCTTATAAAATCTGCAGGATACCCAGCCCAACTTCAACATTCAAGTTTAAAAACACAGTCTAAGAACAAAACTGGGGCCTCTGGGGGAGACAGCACTCTCAGGGTGTCCTTCCTTTGCGGACCCCCTTCTAGAGCTAAGTCCCTAAGGTTGGCCCTTGTGTGATCCCAGCGTCACCTCCTCTGTACCAAGCAGAAAACACAGGAATCTAAATTCCATGTGTACTTGCCATATATTCTCTGAGGCTCAAGCACTACAACAGAGCAGTGAAATCTGAGGAAGCAACCAAAGTGGGCACAGGAGGCCAAGGCCAAAATCAGAACAGGGCATCTCATTTGACAAAAAGACAATGTGAGAAACGCACAACCACACATGGAACCAGGCTCCAACAACAGAAACTCACAGGACAAGAACACAGCAAATGGGCCGACATTTATAGACATGCTGCTCTGTAAGCTGGAAGGAACCTACCTTCTAGATGTGTACGTAGTCCAGGCTCGCCTTTCCCAGGTTTACCAAGGAAGCAGTATCTTTTACCCAAGACCAAAGAATTGTCCACAAGTAGAGCCAACACCACAACTCCTGCTCCCTGTGTGCTAGTCCAGTGGGCAATGTACTAAGGAGATAGCATAGTGCTGGACAGATGAATAAAGTGTAATGGAGACGGTGAGAAAATGTGTACTAAAGCCAATTCTTCCATTTACCTTGGACACAGGACTTAAGCTTTCTGAAGTTTAATGTTCTAGTTTATAAAATGGGAGTAATGTCTGCACATAAGTGAGGTTGGTGCATAAAAGACACTTAAATATTAGCTCCTTCTTCCTACCTCACTGCATCTCATGAAGACCAAGTTTTTCAAATGGCCCACATATGCATAGTGACCTCTTAATTTGGTCCCTTGGTTTATTTTGTCCACAGAATACAGAATGCTCCACATTTGACTGCAGTGACATTGCTAGTAACTGTTTATTCATGGCATACAGCGCTCCTTCCTACTGGTAAGGATATATCGCACATTAATACTAAAATCGGTCAGGGCCTCTTGTAGGCAGGCTCTGCCAACACGTTGCAAATAAAACCCTTGAAGTTTCAACAGAAATATATTTTTACGTGATAGGATGAAATCTCATGGAACTTACGGCTTCCATCCATGGACTGAAAAAGCAACATCAATAGGGCTGTTATAAACTCAGGCTCCACGCTGTCTCCTAAAGGGATTAGACTGGCTTCATAATGTGCGAGAGGCAGAAGAAAAAGTGACCCAAGAAGGGGCTAAATCCTCAGTTGTCATTAGTATTTTCTCATGTCAACGCTGCGATTTGGACAGAGGAATTGACTTATTTTATATACTTGTCTGATCCTTTAGTACTTAATGAAAACTAGAATGTTTTATTTGATCCCTGTGGGAACACAGCTAAACTGGGCAGTTTGTTCCTGAAATAAAATAGCAGCAATCAAAATACTCTGAGTCCCTTAGAAATCAGATCAGAGATTTATTAGAAAGTAGGTGTCCCCAGCTTATAGGTGGCTGTTAACATTGTTTTATTTCCTTTATACCA